CTAGTCCCACTAATGGAGAAAGCAGGACTCTAATTTTAAATTAATCAAGGTAAAATAGGCTGTAGGTGTAGCTAAAGTGGTAGAGCACCAACTTAGAAACCATGAGTCCTTTCCTCAGACCCCAATACCACCAAAAACAAACAACAAAGTAATTCTGCCACATTCTCTAAGGAATTTCCATTATGACTTTGATAAGATTCTCCTCTAGGTTATATGTTTTTAAATACTTATTTTTTATTCTGTTGTTAGAAAACTACAGTGTGTTTCTGGCCACTTAAGTCCAATAGATGTGTATGTTATTTCCCCCAATAATAGCAGAAAATTAAATTGAATAATTTGCACATACCAAATAAGTTTAATGACCAGTGGATTTTCTGAACTATGTTCTCTATGAAAAGAAAAATGTTAATTAAAAGTTATCTTACTGGAAATACCATTTTGTAAGAAATCTTTCTCATGGAAACATTTGAATATCCACAAAAGTAGACAGAATACATAAGAAAATATCCATATGCCCATCACTAGGCCCAACAGATTCAAGTCATAGTCAATCCGGACCCCCAATCAAACCTCATGTACCCTGCTGATACATGACTTAGAATTATAAACACCACATCATCTCATCCACATACACTTGACTATGTGTCCTCAAATTATAAGTTATCTGAAAACAGAGCCACAATATGGTCAGTGTTCTCAGAAAAAAATGAAACAAAGCAGGATAATAATTGACAAGTATTATGTAACATCTGCAGTATGTCAAATTTTTCAATTACATTATTGGAATGTGTTTAAGCCCATTTGACTCATAACCCAATAATCCATGAGTCTATTTTTCTCTTGATCTATTAGTTACCTTGTATGTTGATACCTCTTTATGCTTCTAGTATTATTTGAATAACTGGGTTGTTTGTTATTTAATAGTTCACATAGCCTGGAGTTTGAGTGTCCATAACTCTTCTCCTTCCAAATTGGAGGCTATTTTATTTTCCCTTTGTACTTGTCCTTTTTGTTTTTTGTTTCTTCATTTCTTTTGTTTGGTATCTCCCTCCCTTTCCTTTTCCCTGTCCTTCTCCCTGTCCCTCTCCCTTTGTTTTCCTTGATCTTCTCAGCCTTATGCATCAGTTCTGGCTACACTTACCAGTTGGTTGATTATATTTCACCAACAATTTGCCTTTTTATGGCTTTTGACTCTAGATCTATGCATGGTCTTCAAGTGCAGTATAATGCAAGGGAAATAGTCTTCTCATTAAACAACCTGGGCACAAATCTTTCACACTGTGCCTTCTATTGTCATAGTTATCCACCAAATTTACTGGCTTTTAGTGTCAATTTTAAAATGTATTCCTGGGATTAAAAATTAAATTTTAGCTTAGTCGTGCTAGAATCTAGCATTACATCCTACATTCCTTCCCCAATGAAAACTGAACAGAACACATTTTGCCCTCTCTAGTCAAGTTTAAGTCCAGGGTGGACTTGAACTCTATATCTTCCTGCCTCAGCCTTCCTCATGTTGAGATTATAGGCCTGCACCACTACTCCTGGCTTTGTCCTAAATTTTGAATATTAAAAAGAATGTCATAATAGTTATCATAGAAGCAGTGAAATAATATTCATATAATAATAAAAAATTATATATAGTGCAATAAGTTCTGTTGAATCCTATAATTATATAATAGTTTGGAAGTTGAGAGTTTTTAAATATTTAAGTGTCTTTCTTCTTTTAAGTGTTCTATTTATTTAAGTAGAGATCCTCAGGAAATGTATTTTATAAGTATTAGTATAAGGTATAACATACTATTTATGACTTTATTTTTAGTTAATGAGCATTTGAAAATTTTTTATATATTTTACCAACTCAATAAAAACATCACACTATGTTTTCCACAGAGTAAATAAAAGCTAGCTAAACTTTGTTTCATTATTGAACTTATTCAAAGGTACTTTTGCATAGTTCTATTTGCTGTTAAGTAGAAATTTCAATAGACACATTTATTAAAGTGGTTGAAAGTTTGCATGAACCTCTCTCTGATTTTGTCACTTAAGAATGGTGGGGTTTCTGGAAGAAGAATTGAGAGATATTGATAGTCCCAGCCCTGAGTCCTGTTTGAGTCTAATCCAGTCTTGGGGCCTGATCTAACTTACCCAATGTAGCATGGGGCCTATTGTAGGAAAGCCACAACCACCCAGTGACACTAAGGTAACTATATTTCTCACACGTTGAGGCCTAGATGTGAATCTCAGCTATGGGAATTCATGTACATTACTAAACCTCTCTAAATCTTGGCTTCAAATTCTATAAATACTCAGGATAAGAGTATCTACTTTAGATGCTGGGAGCATTAAACAATTAATTAATATTTGAAGTCTTCAAAGTAGATATGAGTTGCTATTGTTATTGTCATTTTAATTATCTTTGTTAATTTGAGATGACCAGAATCAACAGTGTTGTTACCCTAAAATCTTTGGGGTTTACCTGTGTCCTAGTTGTAGTTTACCCATTGCACAGTACGGAAAACACATTTCTATGTCTAGCATTATTTCCTTTCTTCCATCAGAGGAAATAATCCAGCTTATAATATGCAGTAGAAACCCACATGTAGGGCTTGGAAAGTTTATAGATACATCAGGGACTTTAGTTGAATAAGGACTGGGATAAGACATGAATTACAAAGAATCCACACATAATTACCAATAGCCATGGAAGAGCCATAAAAACAATGTGAGCCTGGACTTCCAAGGTGCTGCTCTAGCTCTTACTTGCTTTAGTACTACATACTTTTTGCTGTTTGGTGATAAATGAATGGAAAAAGCAATGGGTAGATGGCACAGGACAACTGATGAAGAGCTTTCATTTCAGCGATTTCTCTAAAGATAGTGACCAAAGAAATAAGCAGATGAAAAGAAACACTATGTCAGGCTGAGGAAATAGCCTGTACCAAGATTTGGCACAAAAATGTACCTTTTATTGCAGGTAAGGCACAAAATGTGAATCACAAAGTAAAAATAAAATGTGGGTAGTACAAGAATCTGCTCTAACCTTTGTATATCCACAGAGCATGACTATTGTACCAACTTTAAAATATCAAGTCATTGAGCTATCTAAATTTAATCTGAGAAGTATAATTGACAAATCATTTCAGAAATGGAATAAATGTATCATAGATGATCAAATGGCATCAACTCTATACATTATGAAGACTGAGCAGTGGGAAATAATCACCATTTACCTATTAGATGATGTTTTTATTTTTAGCATTATTAATTTTGGTGGTTTTTAAATGAGTCACTCCTAAAAATCTTCAATGACCCTTTAAACAAAAATTCCATTCTTAAATCAGGAAATTACTCATTAAATGTTTTATAGATCAATTGCAAAGGTCTTCAGAGTATAATACATAGGCGAGCCAAAAATATTTTGGCCAACTGACCTCTTGAATCAGCTGGCTATTCATGCTGTGCACCGAGGTAAGGAAGCATGCTCATAGGGATCTTAACTTGTGCAGGGATAAGCAAGAAATGTTTATAGACAGCTCTCTTCAAGATAAACTAACACACAGAATATCTGAAGGACAAGAAAAATACTATTTGCAAATAGTTTATCAGTTCTGAACTAAAATTGTTAAACAGACACCTGATATTCCCCTTTAGAAAAAAAAAGAACACTAAATTTAAAGAGTGGACTTCAAATATTGACTGGGCTGTAGCCTTGAATAAGTCACAGAACATCTATGTTATGGTTTCTTGTTTTGTTAAATAGAGATAATAATTTTATTTAGTTGAGTAATGTGAAACTTAAATAAATATACATCAGGTTCTAAACAAAATGCCTAACATACAAATTTCACAGTAATCAGTGTTACTAAGTTACAGTGCCAAACTAATTTCTTCACAGAAACTACATAAAAAAGTAATGTTTCTTGTAAATATTGACTAAAATTCTATAACAGAAATTACTCAGGAGCCACACTAATTTCCACCCCAAAAGACAAAATTCACATATTCTGTTTTTCAGTTGTCTGATTAAAAACAAACCAGCACAGCATTAAACTTGGAAGCTGTCAAAAGTACCACCTGTCTTGTTTTGCTTACAGCTGTCAGAAACAAATTTTAGATCCACTTCTCAAATTTTTATCACAATTAGAACCAGAGTATTGCTGCATTTGAAATATTTTATTTTTAAACATTCCCTTATTGCAAAAACTAATAAAGTACATGTGAATATCTGTATAACATGATTTGTTACTCTGATTAAGTAATTTAAAAATTATGTGCTTCAGCTTTTCAGTATTAGTACTAAAAAAAGAAATTTTACTGATTTCACCATTTGGAGAACAAAGAAGAGATACGAGTTTATATAAAGAATGAGAATTGTATCACTTAAATGCATTATTTTCTAGTTGGATTGGCAAGTTTGTAAATTTGCCGACATTGTCTCTGGGTATCCATAAATAATAGTAACAGGTAGAATTTTTATCAGAGCATTATCAGTTGCAAATAAACCTCATGTACACATGTTATTTTTATATATGTATGCACTCTGAGAAAGAAAGACCAACTTAATTAAGATATCTCTAGCAATAAAGCAAAATTGCTCACAGTCGTATTTTGAAGTTTATATATAATGTAATATTTTGAGTTTATGACAACCTCTATCTATAGCAAGTTTGCCACCTTTACTAGCAAAGAAATCAGCCATCGTGTTTCCTGACCATAGCTATTTATAGAGGTGTGAGTGACAACTGTTAACCAGTGGAGCCTTGGCTATAGCAGAGAACAGTTTCCACAGCAAAATTTCAGACAAATCTCTTCTTGCTCCCCCAACATACTGATCTAATAGTCTTTCAGCTCCCAAATTCACTTCCAAGCTCCTGTGTAGAATCACTAAATAAGATAATTACCTGAAAGCAACATTTTCAATGGAAGCAAGGTAGTCCCTGCGGCTGCCAGCTGATACACTCTCCCCCCTGCGTGATTCTATTGGAAAACGGTTGCAGTACCTTCAGCAGTGATCTCAGTCATGGTGGTCGTAGAAATTGAGTCGGGTGAAAAGTTCCTGTCAAGTGGCACTTTGCGAAGTACTTTAGGATTTGAGAACTCTGGTAGAGGGTTCTGTGTGAAAATGTGAGGAGGGCTCTCCGTTATTATTATTATTATTTTCTGGCTGTTTCTGCTGCTTCTTTGTTGTCCTGTTGAACTTTGCCTCTTCTCTGCAGAGTTCTCCCCCTGGAAACAACCTCAGCCCTTCCCAAGAAGCACTTGTGGCTCAGCTAGAAGTATCAGCTTCGAACAAAAATAGCCTCATCTCCCTAGGACTCCTCAGCACTTTTTTTTCCTGGCACTCTAGGGGAACACACACACACACACACACACACACACACACTTCAACATCCAAAAGGCCACACACACACACACACACACACACACACACACACACACACACACACAAAAGGCAAAGGAACTAAAAAGTTCTGTCTAAGCCCCCGCAGCTTCTCTAAGATAATTACAGACCTTATGGTCTGTGTCAGAAAACATGAAATAGAGTTGAAAGTAATCTTATCCGTGGTAGCACAGATTTATTCTTAGTGCCCTAATGCTCAGAACATTCCTTTCTGCCTTATTTGGATGGGGAGGGTCCAGTAATGTCTCCCAGAGGCGAAGAGGAGAGCAGTCTGAAGTAATTTTCTCTTAGGTTGATTCCTTATTGGTGTAAATCCACTTAGCAAGTACAATTTTTTATACAGGTCTATACTTAAGGTTGAAAGTATTAAATCCCAGAACTTTCTCCTAAAGTGGTCATGTGGTAGGAGACAAATATTTTCTGAACAGTAGCCAATAGGCAATGCATAATGTAATGCTATGTCACAATGTTTGATGTGGAAAGTATTAAGATTTTATTGTTTTATACCTTATCCAAATCAAAGTATTTGATTTTATCTGTGCAAAGAAAGAAAGAAAATTGTAGAAAAGCACAGCCAACATTTCAGTAAAAGATCTCAACTTTTCTCCTCAACTTAAAAAAAAAAGATATCTCAGCAGCAGCTTACAATTAGCCAAATTGGCTGATTAGCATTTCACCTTCCCACTCCTAGACAGGTGTTAATGAGTAGAGAAATATTCAATGGTTGGTGGTTAGAAGGGAAAAGGAGAATCAAAGGGCATTGATAATCATAAACTCTAGGCAGACTGTGAATTAATCAAGGGGTGACTATGCTTAACTTTCATTTTATTTTCCCACTCGACCTAATAAGTGCTTATAGTTTCATCTTTTAGCCTTTCTGCCTTTGGTTGTCAGAACCTCTTAAATTTGCATGGTACCTCACAGATCACAGAGCAAAGGTGTGTCTATAATTTTAAAATGTGAGGATAAGAAGAGGGATAAGACAGCTATTTGCTTGACAATGCCATCCTCCATGTCAGTACTGTCTTTTATATGATGCCCCAATTCCTGGCATGAAAGCAAGTGCTCAAATATACAAATTAGTGATGAAATATTATTGTTAAAAATAATATTCTTGAGATTAGGTGATTCCATAAATTTCACAAAATTGTGGAATAGTGATACTTAAAGTCATTAACACATTTTAACTTTCACAAAGCAAATTGTCGTTATCATGGTCTATAAAGTTTGTGAATTCTGTGAGTTTTGGCAATACAACTACTTCTTCCACATCAGGTGATATGTACATTTCTTTCCTTTTGCTTAGTGTCAGCTGTTCCCTCTTTCCCTCCAATTCCCTCCTTCCCATCGCTGCCTTTTAATTGCTTAGTTCATATTTCATCAATGTCCAGTGCAGCTGATGGGCCCCTCTGTTGTATGTTTTCCCATTTCCCTCTGATTCTGTGTCCTCCTCCTAGCTTCCCTCAGATGTGTGCATATATATATATATATATATATATATATATATACACACACACACATATATATGCCATATGTATGGTCAAGAACATGGAGTCACTTGGCAATGATATGACAAAATGAGTGGAAGTCCTCCGTTTCTCGAGTCCTGTTTACTTTGTCATATCTCCTTGCATTTTGACTTTAACATCCATATATCAGGGAGACCACGTGCTGTTTGTCTCTTTGTTCTTGGCTTACCTTGCTCAAAATGATTTGCTCTAGTCCCATCCAAGTAATGAAATATTCTTAATTAACAAAGGAAGAAATAATTTGTGTAAGATTCATGCTTTTATAAAAGGTTCAGTACCTAGGATTGGTAGCAGGGTCTATTGACCACCTTTTCCCAGAGATGAGGCCAAGTTGCCAATACTACCATAGTACCATTTATAGATTAAAGAGAGCCCTATAAATTAGGCTAAGTAACAAGATGAGAAGATCCACAACCCTCAAAACAGCCTTCTGGTGGTCTAACTTGGCCTAGACCAGAACTTACCCTAAAAGCAGAATTCATCTCACTATTTTCCCCAAAACATGTCCTTCCTCTAAAAACCAGCATTCCAACATAGTACTTTCAATTTTAAAGAAATACTGCTCTTCATCTTCATTTAGACCTTTCATTGTGTTTCATGTAATTACTGAAGAAATATTATTGTGTGTACCTCATTAAACCTTTTGTATGGATCAAGGCCTAAATAAAATTATCTAATTTAGAGGGATAAACTCAATTTCAAACCATTATTCAATAAAAACTAAAACTATATAGAGCACGAATACTAAATTCCTACTGATTGATGTTTCTCTCCAGCTGACAATCACTAAATTTCATGCTGCATATACTAGAAGAAAGAAGAAAAAAGCATTCTAGACAATCACATGTTTGGAAATAATAATCTCTTTTAAACTCATCTTATAGATGAGTTGATGAATCTTATTAGGCATTAAGAAATCAGTATATTTCTCATTCTAATAAGTGATTAGAATTCTTGCAACTACTTTGAAACCCAATCTATGCAATGTATCTTGAATTCCAAATAGAACTCTACAAAACTTTGCAGAATCAAGCAACCTACCAAGTAGGTACACCTCATTTACCAGGAAGCTCAAAGAGCAAGGTATACTGAACCAAGAGCATATCCTTCCTCATTTCTCATTTCATCTTAAAGGGAGGAGCCTAGCTCATTTGGACATTTCTACCATGACCAGGTAGGTATGGCAGTTCTTTCTTCTCAGAAATGGTTTCTGATGTCTTCTTACAGCTATTTCTGTACTAGTAGTACAGGTGGACTTATCAAAGAGTTGCATAGAGGAGCATTTATAAAACCAGGACAAGAATAACTAAACTAATATACATAAGTGAATGATGAACTGTAAATATTTTTTCTAGTAATAAATGTTGCATGTAGGCCAGTATTTCTCTCCAACTTGATTACTCCAGTGTGATTTCATTTAGTGATCTAAATACTGAAATGTGTCAATAAAAATATTGTTACTTAGAGTAGTTTTTTAGCCTGGCTGCTATTGCAACAAACTAACAATCAATAAGGCCTATACTCTATTTGGTTATAAATAAAATTTTACTCACAATGAATTTCACAATGTAAAAATATTCAGAAGGTAACCAGAAAACTTTTGATTTTTGGTTTCCACATGTAAACTAATATAAAAAATTTAAGAATGTAATACGCTGTCTTGTACAATGTCAATATGTCCTTTCTATGAGTAGTGGGAAGGAATTTAATTGTTAGTAAGCAGCAATTGAACATCTATCACTTATTTTCTGAAGGACTTTGAATATTTGAGAGAAATTCAAGTTTCAAGGTTATTTACAAAGTCCACTTCTCAATGTACAGATGCTCATATTCATGTTAGTGATAAATGAGCATAACATAATAAAAATACTCTGTACAGTATGCATTCTAGTACATTTAAACAGTACAAAAAGATATGCATTTGGAATAGAATAGAAAGTACACTTTCTTTGGATACTAATATTATAATTGGCATTATTTCTATGTGGACCTAAGTTTTCAGTTTCATTTTAATTGGAGAAAAATATAATAAACCAAACAGGATGGCTTTAATAAAAGTCAAGGAAGGCAAAGTGCTGTGATGTTAGAAATTAACCAAATATAAATTTTCAGCACTGGATTTGAAGTAGATTACCAGAGGATATATACAAAAGTGGTTATTTTTAGCTTTTAGGGGAAAAAAATCTATACTTGAACAGAGTAAATATTGGCTTTTTAAACATTAAATGAAGAAACAGGAGAAACTGCTAACATCAGAAGTAAACTTAAAGTCCCTTTGATTGTATTTGATTTCATTTGACCCTGAAATCTCATCACATGACCTAGAAATTGCTCTGAAGCTTATCTTTCATAAACTCTGTCTTCAAAATCACAACAAACGCTCATTTGAACTGCTAGTTCATTTATCTTACTTCATCAGAGCACTTCTGTTCACTTCCATTTAAATTGTTTTTATTGCTGTTGTTCTGTTTTGTTACAAAAAATCTCTTTCTGCTCTTACTATTTTCCTGAACTGGCTTGAGCTCACTTCTTTAATCAAAGGTTGAAAGCCATTCCATAGTTTTGGCTTGTCTCTGATAATTTAGAAACTGCGTAATCCAGGTCGTTTCAGATTTCAGAAGGCATTCCAGAGCAATTAAGAACTTTCCTCTCTTTGACTCTGACTCATGAATAGCTTGGTCTCCAGTATCAGGCATCTTTCCCCACACACATCTGCCATTGTCAAACATTCTCTTACAACCCAGCCTGGGTCAATCTATTCCTCAGTTACTAAAGACAGTGGGTGCCCCTTCCTTCTTAACATTTGATTGCATTCTCTGAAAAGCTGGCCTCTGTTCACTACCACTGCTCTCTTTATGAATATCCACAATGTCCTTTAGTAGGTAGCTTTTATAGTGCTCACAATTGAGCTTTGTAGTCTACATACCACTACAAATGACCATCAGCAGGAGTTTCTGGTTTGTATCCAATGTAATTTATGATTTAAGTTTTTCTAATTCTTAGACAATATAAATGCTTTTCTAATAAAAGAAAATACCTGTTTACTGAGGCAGGTAGTTTTTCCTTTCAAATGAGTATTTCCATTTACTTATGTTGAAAAAACTTTACAACATCGTTCTTTCTTTACCTTGTGATGTTTTACATTATCAACACTGAAGTTCATTCTACCTAGATAGTGTATCCTTAGTGAATACCAGCTAGAGTTGCCAAATTTATGAGCTTACTAACCAATAAAGAAATAATGTCTACTACTGAATTCCAGTGTTTAATAAATATATATTATATTTTTATGGGCACTGAGCTAGATTATATCTTATGCAAAGATGAATAGAACTCTGTGTGTTAAGAGATAAGTCTGATAAGAGTAAAAAAAAGTAGACCAACTATTGTAATATAAAAGTAGAATGAGGAAATGAA